CTTGAGTTGTCATAAAAACTCAAAAGGTTTAGTTTGTCCAGCTTGGACTTCTGTAAAAAAAAACATGGCGGCCTCCGTACTAAGGACTCGCTCCCGATGTAAACATAAAGTATTTAAATATAATTCTAGGTATGCTAGGGCCTAATTGAGGTTTACTCTGGTGATTGAACGGCATTAAAAAACAAGTAAATCAGTCTTAACGTTATTATTGTTAATATATTGTTTTCAGTAAAATGCCTCAGTGGACACTGCACATCTTATATGATTGCTATCATGATATCCACAATGCTCATGTAACAGTTCGGGCAGTAAAGTATGTTCAGATTTTTCTATGTATGATACAAATCCATACACAGGAGCAGCGCTTTTATAATACAGTTCATATACTTTTTTTTTTATCCTCACACTGTGACTCATACGTGTGACACTATTCTGGGAAAGAAGTGCTTTTAAGGATAACTTCCTTTATCTCCTATATAATATTATTCTCCGAAACCTGTGCCTGCTGTTAACCCTTTCCATCGACACTCAGCATTTTATTACACTTTTAATTAACTGATCCATGCAGAGCAACTTTTTTTATATTCAGATTCCTAGGAACTAGTTGTATTTGCAAAAAAAGGGGAAGGTACATACTGAAAATTAACACTCACCATGTAACTGAGACAAATAATTGTACAAATAAAGTGACTGTACCACCAGATCCTTTTCCATGTTGCCAGAAGGTCAAAATCCTAACTGGTCTTTCACAAATTAACCAGGACGCTAAATGCAAATAACCAACCTTGGTGTGGGTGAGCATAATTGTGCAGCTCCTCCCTACTCTCCACTGCTACAAACGACCGTTTAAAAGAGGGCTGATCCGTGATTAACGCTGATTCCCTCGTGTTTAATAGCCCTCAGTGCAACAGAATGGCAAAGTAAAAACAAACAGATGAGACTACTCCCACATGGTACCCAGAGCGCAGATGGAGACAACTTATAGATGGAGATGTGGATTTTGGCAGAGGCTGGAGTCTGAGCAGGTGTTTGGACCCAGCTTGGACATCATGTACTGACATTTTTAAAGCACCCGAGAGCCAGTGGGACAACAAAGGCCACAGGGTGGAGATGAGGCAGGCAGGACAAACTGTTCATCTACCATGGACACTGTGAAAATAACTCATTAGAAAAACATACTGATATCACTAAATCAACATCTAACAATGTTAAAGGACACGTTATGCTCATGTTCAGATTCATATTTTAAAAGGTTTACGTGCTCTAATGTTCAGAAAACATCACTTTCCTCAGACTGTCCATCGCTGCAGCTCCTCTTTTCAGCCTCTGTCTGACACACTTAGCTCTAGCCCCCCTCCCAATAAAGCCCTCTCTGCTCTGATTGGTCTGTAGCTTCCAGCGCGTGGAGGAAATGTCGCCCTCTGCTCTCGCTGTACCTGCCTTTGTTAGGGGGCGTGTCAGACTAGCCTCAAGGTGTTCATTATGCATTGTAAACATGGGGCATTGTGATGTCATTGGACAACAAGTACTGAGCAGACTACTGATGAGGCGTTCTGTTGGATGAGAGGATTTTGCAGAACTTCTGCATATACGAAAAAAACTATATATCACACTAGAGGAAAGAAAAACTGAAAAATCATCATATGTCTCCTTTAAGACAAAAATAATTAATTGATTTAGACGTACGTGACAAAACTACCTGTCATCAGCTGATGTGGGCTGATTAGATCATTTCGAAAATAACCGTTTTAGTGGAGTAACAACATGCTCCAAGTCTGAGCCTTATGGAAAATTGCTGGAGAAAAATCCACATTCAATATGTTTGTGTTTGTCTTAACCCAAAGCAGATTGAGATGTGAGGAAGAAAAGCTCCAGCAAATACTTTCTCCACACAGATCTGAAGTGGAACTCAGACTGCAGACGAGTGGTTGTTTAAAGTTTGCCTATCCGCCTTCCTCAGGCTGGAAATGGTTGCTCTGCGTGAGACGGACTCTCAGTGGTGTTGCTGAAATGCAGAGCACCCTGCTGTGATCCTGGGGCATCACCTGATAATATACTGTCTTCCTTGGAGAAGCACTACCAAGCATAGAGGACTCTGAAGTGGTAAACAACTTCACACAGACATTTCACATGCATGGGGAACACAGCCGCCAAATGCTTTTCTCTTTCAGCTCATGTTTGCCGGGTCATTTTAGGAAGGGGGGGCGACAAATTGAGAGCGGTTGTGAAATCGACAGTCCAAAGACATGAGGATATGCCAAAGCAAAATGTTGTCTGAATCACTCTGCAAACCGTTGAAACCTACAAATAACCCCTGAAAGCAATCACAGAGCCTTGGATAAGACATTCTTTTGATGTTCACCAGTGCTTCATGAGAGGAGGAAAAAAAAAAACTTTCAAGGCTGCCCTTTTCTTCCTCCTGCGTCTCAATTGAATTGGTAGCGTCCTTGCATTATACATTCCCTATTCTACAGAAGATTGAATTAAAAAATCCTTTGTCATCAGAAACTTTGCTCAGTTTGCTGAAGTGACCAAGGCATGGCTATGAATAATTATGTGGGAGACAGTGGTCTGAAGTGGCCACAGATTTTCATTAGCGCCTCCAGACAGCAGTGCAGGGAGCGGGGGTGCAGGTCTCTGGGCCTGTCTGTATCAACAGTGATGTATCACACAGCCCTGTGAGTCTTAACCGTTCAATTAGGAGCTCTGCAGAGGCCCGGCCCCGTCAGTGGGAAAGACCAGCAGAGAGCCGGACAAGATCAAGAGCCGCTTCCTCAAACACACTTCAGGAGCCGGGGCCATCAATCTCCCCGACTGTGACCGGCAGGGTGTCCGAGGGGCAGGACCCCCGCAGACGCTGGGCCCGGCTCAGAAGGCTGCACAGGTAGGGCCATTCATTCCTATCAGCTAGGCTAAAAAATGAATAAGCTATGACCTTCACAGTGGGAGGACGGGGTTACACCGCGAGCAGGGAGGGGAGAAAAATCTCATTTTCATCAGCATTTCTCTGGACACCAAACAGCATTAGCCTGGGAAACTGCTGAGGCTAGGTTTGTTTTTCTTTCCCGCGTCGGCATCCTGGTTCTACAGCATGGGGATTTAGCTGGTTAATGTTGTGAGAAGGGCAATTTGTACAATATCATCAGGCGTTCTCACAGTGTTTATGTGCATGTTTGAGTTTGAATGGCCACAGTATAACAGCGATATTATGATCCAAATTTAAGGTGCCACTCTGCCTCGCACATGAGATCAATCTGTGTTGCTGATGGATTAAGAAACTCGCAGGGCATAAGGAATGAGAGTTAGGTGAAATAAACAAGTAGTTATAAAGTTAACCATGTGGTGGGGCAGTTTTCCGCTCTGTGTGTGGAGCCAACTATAAATCATATAAATCATTATGACATATGGCTGCTCCACATACCAGAGGAAGTTACTTCAACTTTCCCCTGTTGGTTCACATGTTTCATCAGATTTCTTTTACGTATGAGACTTGTGTGTAACTCCAGCTCTGAGCCGCTGATAAGTTTGAAAAATGCTAAAACCTGGACAGGGGACTCGTTGGGGCGAGGGGGGCAGGGCAGGATGTAAAAGTGACATTTCAGGCCATGAAAACTGGAGCGTGACACAGAATCGTAAGGCACCACAGCTACAGAGGGCTTTAAAGAAGTGGAGGACTTTTCCCCTCCAGAATAATTTAGAAGAGAATTAATGTCCATATCCTTGAAAATCTTAATGAAGATCTAAAGGTGAAAACAAAGAAAGCATAGAGGGCTTTGTCTACTATAGAATAATAATTACCTCAATAAACTAGCAATAATATTTGTTGGGAAATTATGAGCTGCAGTTATTTTCTTCACACGAAATGAGGCTTTAGAGAAAACACAATGGACCTTTACCAACAATGGAGCCCTGACGACTATTTATTTATTACATGCAGGGGGTAATTTGTAAAAATAGGAAAGTTTTCATGATGTTTGGTTTGTAAAAGTACATTAGGAGCGGTACAAATACAAAAAAACGCATTAAAAAAATGCTGAATGAAAGGACGGCTCGAACTGCTTTGACCACTCTTTTCATACGATCGTTGTAAATTCCAGTGTCTCCGTCTCTGTTTGTTTAAGTGGGGGCACTTTTGTTCTCCGTGCTACCCGACAGTAATTGTGTTGGAGCTGTGCAAAGTGCTGACGGTGAAAGTGGACCTCGTTTTTCAGCCGTTAGCCGTAACAGAGATGTTATCTTTAGTTCTAGATGCAAAGCGCCTAATGGCTCCACATTGTAGCCCACTTACAAACTCATTCATCCACATCAAACACCCTGCACGCTCTGCAGGGAGTTCACTTAGGTCACTTATATTGTACATGTACTGAACTCACTAGTTATTGTTGTATTGTTGTTGTCTATAGGAAGAGAAAACATCATCAGTAGCGCCATCTGCAGGAAACCATTAAAACCGAAGCTTTTTTCCCAGGTACAGAGCATTTGTTTTCACTGTACATGTCGTACTTCACTGTTACCTTGAATACCTTATTTTCTATGCCATGGGCATGTGTTGACATAGCAACCATGGATTTGATATGCCTTAAAGTGGCTTGCATTATGTGCGCGTCCTTCATGAGTTCAGTTTGTATCTAACAGACGTCCTCTTCAGTCCGGACATGTAACTTGGTTAAAAGAGCCTGAATAAACTTTGCATAGATGCTTTGTAAAGTACAAGGTAACAAGGCTTTTAATATGTTTATAAGTGTCCTGCCAGTACAATATTTCTGCTCTCAGTACACTTCACATCTGAATATGAATGGATGAATGCACAGTGGTTTCCATTTCTAGTTCACTTACAAAGCTGGGTGTTGGTATGACCACTTAGATTCTGATTTATGTGTTGAACATGTGTCACAACCACTACAACATACAAATTAAACCTGTGACACAATAAAACAACAATGTATTGTTTTCCTTAAATCCCAGCAGTGCTCTTTAAGTAATTGTGTTTTTGGCCTCACCGGCACATCTGGTCCTGGCCCTCAAAGGGGGTCCCGGGGCTCCAGTGCCTCCCTCCAGAGGTCTGGTCAGCAGAACGCTGATCTCGTACTCTGTGTCTGGGTCCAGATGGCCGATCTTGTGTGTGGTCTTGTCCACGGGCTGCAGGTCGTACATGGTGCCCGACACTGTGCGGTACTCCACCTCCCTGTCGATGATCGGGCCGTCCCCGTTGATGGAGTTGGCGTTCAACTGGATCCAGAGATAAGTGGCACCGACAGCGGTCAGCTGAGGGGGTGCAATAGGCACTGGGGGCTCTAAGGGAACAGAACGTTTGATGTTAGATGTTTGATAACCACATTATAAATTCAAAAATCATATTTGTAATTTGAGTAAAAACATTCCCACAAAATAACTTTAGATAAAATATCTGACACACGACAAGTATTTTCACGTTTTCCAATAAACAAGGTATTTAAGGAGAGCCATGCAACAATCAATAGCTCCAGCTGGGTAATGAAATGTCTCATCCTCAGTAGCACAATGACCGACTCATGTAATTGCACACGTTTTTTTTTTTAAAGTGACTTCAACTTCTAAGAGGTGTAAACGAAGTCACCCAGACCTTGGGTGACTGTGGCTCTCATTGAACAACGTATTGATTTTAATCAGAGGCTTTCAATGGAAAAGCCTCTGGTAATTGACAACTACAGTAGCTGTCATCTCTCTCGTTCTAAATCAGGGGCTGGTTCAGTCTCTCGACTCTTGACAGTTTCAGAATTTTCTAATTTCTATTAAAAGTCAACAAGAACTGATGAGAACACCTGAAAAATAAAACTGCTTCATATTAATTTAAAGCGTTTGCAGTGATTTTTATCCCTTTTTCATCTTTAAAAACCTGCAGTGTTAGAAAGTGAAATCACGGTCGCTCTGCGGGAATCAAGCTGTTGAGCTTTTTTAGTGTGTGAGAATTTCATATAAATGTAAGCATTAAAATTACTAAATGGAGTAAAGGTAAGTACAGTACTTGAGTAATTGTACTTAATCATGTTAAAAAGAAGGGGCAAGAGTTGATGGTAAGATTTTGAGAGAAATAATTCCCCTGGTTCAAACTGTTTCAGGATGTTTTATCCCCCACAATATAAAAAATAACCAGAGTGGCGAATGAGAAATTGTATTTTAACACTTTTATTTTGACACTCAAAACATCCAACAATGTGAGGAAGGACAGCTTCATCTGTTTCGAAGCCCTCGTGTTTACAAATGTAAGAAACGTGGCTCGGACTCTATTGTACAAATATTTAATGAAAACAGGGAAATGAAAAAAAAAATCAGCATAACAATTGAAGTTTGAAACTTTGTTGTGTCTGTTGTGATTTTTCTAAAAAAAATCCAGTTCTTCTTCAGTTTTAGTTCATTCTTTCAGACGAAAGTGTTTTTTCGACGACAACCTTGAAGTTGACCTTTATTTCCTCTCTGTTCTGCGCCAATATTTGTCTAATCTTGCCAACCTTGTGCCATTTCTGTTTTAACGAGGCCTCGTGAAATGTCAGACAAGTTATTTCAACTGTGGTGTATATTCAGAAATTAATTGTTATATAACTTGGTAAGAGGACACTAGTGGTAATGTCTGTAAGAAAGAGTTTTAGACTCTTTTCATCTTGCACACAAAGTCGTCACAATGACATTCTGAACATTTAAAGTCTCTCTTTAGCAGTTAAGTAACACAACGATTAATTATTCTTTTACTCAATCCATGTTCTGATTGTTCTCGTTTAAAAGGACTACATCCTCTGCTGTCAATCCCTGACGACGTGTCTCCACTTCCTCCCGTTATCCCGAAATGAAGCCAAAATATTCGTACGCTGCCATCTTGAGCCAAGGATGTAATTTGGAACCAAATCCTGAGCAGTAACTATCAAGGGCTGAAGCAGTGGAAGTGAAATCCTGCCGATACACAGGCGTGAACAATGGCGCATACCCCTGCCAAGGCCCAACAGTCCAGTTAAATCAGGCTGGACCAAATTTCACATACTGATACATATAAATTCCCAAAATGCCTGATTATTGTCATGAAGAAACATAAATAGTTCCTTGGGAAAACAAGGCGAACAGTTAACAAACACCTGATCTTGCAGTGCGGTCTTGAGAAAATCAAACAAATACACCAGAAGAATGAGCATTTAATCAAAGTGTGAAAAGAACTAAACTGACAGAAACCATCGTTACTTTTAGTTTGCTCCATTCACTAACATGGAGGAGGCAGGATTTATGACTTATACACCAGCCAGCCACCAGGAGGCAAAGTGACGGCTTCACTTTTCTGCAGCCGTCATTTTTATGCACCCAGATGTTTTTCATGCTTCAAACACTCGTAGAACCTAAAACTTCACCAACAAAGAGCTGTGACCCACAGCTGAAGCTTTGCTTATGAATCCACCCTTGTCACGTACTACAATGGCTCCATGTCCCAGAGGCCACGGCGAGTAGCTCTAATGAGCACACACATGTAACAGAATAATGCCATTAGTCGCCTGGCTGCTTCTCGTGGAGTTGTCATGGAGAGGGAGAGGTCTCCAGGCACATTAAGAGCAGGTTGAGGTGTCCCACATAGAATTGGAGGCCCTCCCTCAGCAGATGGTTACCCCACAGTGACCTCCGTCGCAGGTCCCTAAACTCCCATTAATCCGAGCTTCCAGAATCGCAGTCAAACATCACCTAAAGCGAACCAGCTAATCCAGCAGGTCGTCTTCCTGGACACACGCAGCACACCGGCCTGCGTGCTGGAGCCAGACAGGACAATGAGGTGATCCAAAATCTGGGCTCAACCAACAGACTTGTTTTGATGGGTCTTTTATGTTATGTCCTAAAAGGGCTTTAACTGAGTTAAGAAGCAATATGCTCGTATTCATTTGAACAAAAGAAAACAGCACAGGCTCATACTGCAATACCATCCCTCATAGTATAGTGGTTTATCAGAAAATATTGATACGGTAATGGTGTTTGACATTTGTAATATTTTAAAACATAAAATTAGAGTGTGGTTTTCCCTTTGTTGGCTTCAGAGAACAGATTGACTTGGAGTGATTTGGCCTTGTTGCTTTTATTTTATCTCTCCAGAAAAGCAGATGGCACAGTGAATTAAAGGACCAGATGTAATCTGTTTTATTTGTACAATGTTTCTTTATTCATTACAGAACTAAATTAAAAATAATATCTTTGCAAAACAACAAATGTGAAGAAAATTTAACTTTTGTTTTAATTGAATTTAAATTGTTATATTTTTAAGTGACTCATTTCATCACACCTTGCGATGCACATTGGCTTCAAGAAATAGCATTTTCTATCAATCACGATTGGTTCAGAGGAGCGACACACTTGGTCAAACCAAATTCAACCATAGACTGTGACTAAAGCTCAATGATATGCCTGGAATGAACTCTTGGAATTAAAAATGAAGGTAAAATGTTTCAGATAAAGGTGCCACCATTGTGTGTGCATGTTATTTACAGCATCAAATAACTAATTAAAAGTAAACGTTCTATATGTACTTGACCCTTTAGTGTGTCCCATGTCCCATCTACTAACATGGAGGAGGCTGGGTTTATGACCTATACTGCAGCCAGCCACCAGGGGGGAGGGGCGACCGAGATGTGGGTGGAAGTGGGACTTCACTTTTGTGGAGTTTAAATTAAGTCTACATATTTAACCAACTAACTAAGTTAGGGTCATTAGTGATGTGCTGATCTGGTTTTTATCTTACATGAAAACCACTGTCAGAATACAGATGTGGGACGGGAGGAAAAACCTTCAGTCGTTCAATCAATCTTCTCCGAAGAGAAAATGCTTGTTCTGCACTGTGATGCGTGGATGCCATTCAATCCGATTTTTGCTGCCATCACTTGAGACCATTTCCTCAACAATGCAACTACGCAGCATGATGTATTATGGCAATAAGCATTTCATTTAACTTTGAAAAGTTGCCGCTTCACAAAAGCAATAGCAGGTTATGGTGATGGAATAATTCCTGTAGGTGCAGTAATCCTCTGTTCAGCAGCCATAGCAGACGGATTACCAGTGTGAAATACACTCAAGTGCTGGAACACTTTAGGATATTAACAACTCAATTCCCACTGTTTAAGCCTCACGAGGAGGCGTCGCGGCCTGGAAGTGATGCTGAACCCGGCTACCGTGCCGGCTGGAGTCGGGGTGACGGCGAGCAGATGACAGTGGTGGCCATACGCGGGGGTCAGCGAGCAGCTGTTGTCATGATGTTGCCCAGACAGGCCCTTAGCCTGGCGACAGCTGCGTGCTCCTCTAACGCAGCACCTGCCAGAACGCAACCGCACTAAAGTTCACCGATGCACGTGCATCACACACACACAGAGCCAATACCAGAGGATGGACATATCAAGATGTAGAAATAAAAAACATATTTGTGATGCGACTTCAGTAAATATCTTTTTCATCAATAAAATTCTCTACTAACAATAATTGAGTAGTGACAAGTATATGTACATATTCTCTGTATATTAATTCTTTTTATTTTTATTCTATTGCCTTTTTATTCTCTTGTCTCCCTCATTCTGACTATTTTCTGCTGTAATGGTGATTGTACCCATGGCTCAAAAAGAAAGTACTGCAATATTCATGAATTTGCAGTATTACGACCCGTGTATCCATGGTGACGTTCCTGGAAATAAATGCTCTGTTAAGTCGCTTCTGATGCAACCTGAGCATTTCCTGCTGCAGCTTCAAATTAAAACCATTTAACTGGAAAAACAAGGTGACTTATTATGACGTGGAAACAGTCCAATGTGTTTGTCAGCGAGTTTGGCACTTACAGCTACTGTTCATCAAAAAAGATGGATCCACGAAACAAGACAAGAGTCATGTTCGACATCTTTTTGACAGAGAAGATCATAAATATTGTCAGGAGCAGCCACAGTTTAGTTGTTAGATGAAGAGCTGCAGGCGACAGGCTGCAAAAGCTCCAACTTCTCAGCGAGGTAACCGGCTCCTCTCACTGTGCCCTGCTGTTCACAGGCTCACGCCGTGTGCAGCATGAAATCAGATCACAGTTGCTCACGGAATGATGAGAAAGGGACAATTCTTGTTAACTTGTTCGAGACGATAAGTTTGTTTTTTCAGAGACCTGTGGTGGTGAACCGCGTCTACAACAATAACCTACTGGTGTCGCCAAATCAACCGGAACTGAAATCTTCCTATAGCCACTTTGATGACGTAACAATGAAAGAGGCTTATTAAGTTTTTCCAGAACCAAAGGAGCCGGCATTGAAATAGCAATAATATAAGACAACGAAAAAACAGCACATTTGACTAAATGGACCTAGTTACTCCTCGGCCTCCTTTGGCCTCTTGAATGATCAATCAGTTCCTACAATTGTCATTTAATCTCTTTCCACTGATTATTCAATTAATCAACTTATTGATCTACACAACATTCCAAACATACACACACACACACACCTTGCCACACATTTGCTATTCAGCACACAGAGCAATAGTAAGAGCTGCCTCCTGCTCTGTTGTTAGACTAGTTAGACCTGACTGTTTATACGTCCTTATTTCATTTGCCTGTTTCATCCACTGAGCCTCTCTTGTTAAATTGCAAGAGGTCCTCATTATGTCGTGCACTCATCTAACTGCTGAGAGCAAAGCATTGATCTGGCTCCTGATATCAGACGTGGTGGCCGCGGGAGAAAATGATGAGCTTGACTGGCCGGCCTTCGATTTTTTTTTTTTTGTGTGTGGCTATTCTCATTAGCGCTGACAAGAGCCGCGCCTCGGCAGCCTTGAGTCCGTCGGTATCAAGACCCAGAATGCTACGCTGGAGCCGAGCGAGCGCTTTGTGGGCTCCAGGTGATTCTAACCAGGCCAAGAAAAGAGCCAGCACTTGGACAGGGGAGTAATTATCCCCCTTTCAGAACCACTGGCCGCACTACAGGGGGGGAGGGGGGCAATCCGTACAGAACTCTGAAATATACATGCACTGCACTTCCACATAAATCTGACTCAATACTGGCAAGAAAGCAGAAGTGATTATCCGGGATAATCAAGCATTCACTCGCCTCATGTTGGAAGAAGAAAGAAAAAAAGAAGCAGTGTATGGTAATGAAGGGTGGGTGTGCGACTGTAGCAGGCTCATAACACACAGAATCGCTCCGTGGTCACTCCTCCAAAAACGAGTCACGGACGCGGTGAATACACATTTAAGGCGGATTTACGACTCAGACACGATGCTGGGAGGGTTAAGCTCTTGTTTTACGACTGGTACGATAAGAGGAGGTATCAGCTTTTTTATGTGTGACATTTATAACCGTGAAAACACCTCTTTTCTTCCTCTTGACGAGTTAGCTTATGTCGGAGTCGTCGAGGTGTGAAACCACAGCGGAATTTAAAGTGGGTTTTCATTACAAGATTCAATATTTCCCTAAATCTAGAAAATTACGGTTACTATTTTAAATATTTACGACAAAAGCACTTCACACTTGCACTTGTGTAAAAAAAATATATATATATATATCGCACATCTGAACGGCGCCATCAGCAGAAACGCGGCCGTCTGGTGAGTGAGCGTAAGTGCAAGGATGTGCGAGTGATTGCGTTTAAGCAGGAGTGTGGTTTCGAACGCCTCCAGTGTGTCAGTAAATTTCCTTTTGAGTACACCGCTGACACCCGCTGATACACTCGGGCACAGAGACTTTATCTCCCTCTTCACTCTGCTGTGTCTGGGCCCGGCCATTCTTCTATGATTGACAGACCTCGATTTGGACAGCCAGGATTAAACCTATCAATCACATAAAGCTCGGAGACAAAAAAGAAAAAACAGCGAGGAAGAAAAAAAATCGAGGCAGTAAATTCAATTGAGAGCACAGGGAGAAAATTGAGGTGAAGAAATATAGAAGGCCATTACCGGGCTATAGGGCTGTAGGAAAGTGAGGCCTTGCAGGATTTAGTTTCAGACGACTCCATAAATTCATATCAAATGACTGCAGAAGTGAAATATCAGTGAGGTTACCGTAAACCCTGGTGCCTCTCGCCTTTGTGATCTTTTTGGTGGAATTGTGCTCCGTCAAGGACAACCTTTACAGGGGAGGTATTAGTCCTCTGGATAACAAATCAACATAAAAAGATAGTATTTTTAGTATCGCCTCAGAGGACATTTCCATCTACAAACATGCAGCATTTCCTGTTTATTTCCTGGTGACTTTGCTGCGTGCGTGGAGGTCGTGTGGATGGAACAACATCCCTACCGTCTGATGGGCTGTTTATGTCGTACCCCTGCTTTGGGACCGATACTCACGTTTTATGGTGAGCTCCCCGTAATTGGACACTCCAACCCCTTTGTCTGAGTGGACGATGCAGCGGTAGCGGCCCGAGTCGCCCTTGGTGGTGTTCTCCACGTCGAAAGTGCCTATGAAGCGCCGATTGTTCCAAGGTTTAGTGGCTTTCATCGGGGCCTCCCGTCCACCGATGCCCTGTTTGGAAGCGAGACAAACGAAGGAGTGAGCCTCTAAAACGGAAAGGTTTAATAAGCAGAGTGGCCTGACCTTGTGTGTTTCACAAACTCTGCTCCAGTGTGTGTTCTTGTGCGTTGTTTGTTTGTGTCCTATCGTTCCCACCGGTGGGTGATAGTAGGGAAAGCATTTATCACGCAGGGATGCACGTACACACACACAAACACACAGTGGGCTCTCCCCAGCTGTCACCCCTCACAGCAGGCAGATGGGGGACATTTGTTCATTAGAAATATTTCTTCATTACTGTCATCGGGGGACTTCACTTAATGTTTGTTTTCCAGCTCCTGTGCTAATGAGGACGTGTTTGTTAAAATGATGGAGTACCTGGCAGAGGACCTTTACCCAGCGTCATGCTCCCACTGATCACACGTGTGGCATCGCGCTCAGCAGCCGAGGCGGCAGGGTTACGTCTGCCAGATACACTACCTCTGCTGCTCAGAACAAGGTCACTGCAAGACTGCTGCACGGCTCACTTGTGCCAGATATAGAACACGGTATCCACCGAGCCAACGGCTATATAGGTTAAGACCACGCTGCGGTGATCTGAAACAACTGTAATCCCCTGTCTCCAAGACGCAGAGGCCTCAGGAAGTGTGGCGAGCAGGTGACATCACAAATACAAACGCACAGTCGAGCAACGTGTCAATGTTTACATTTGTAAAGTCGTTTAAACAGGGAATTACAAACAGGCAAGTGGGATTTGGTATCAGCTTTGCTACGTAAATGATGGGCCAGGGTGAATAGTAACATTTACATTTTGTCTGTTGACGTTTGTGTTTCACTTTTAAATGATTTCTCTTACAGACTGTGATGGATTTTGTCTGAAAGCTCGTCACCCATTCCAAAAACACGCGGGTTACAGGTGTTAGCATCTTATTGGACAGTTAAACCTAAATCACGTTGTGTTTTGGTTCTGGTGTAATTTGAAAAAAAAGTTGGAGCCTCTCTGTCTGGGGCATTTGAATTAGGTATGAAAGTCCCTGAGCGTAGATGCTGCAATATGCTGCTAGTTGGCCCTTCATCTATAACCTGACCTTGAGAGCTGCCAGGAGAGAAGGGAGTTACTGTGCTCTGTTCTCCTAATGGTGCTGCACAGATGTAATGTGTGACGATGGTCAAAAGTTCCTTCACACAGACCGATTTAGGTCTGTGGTTATGCAATTTCAATAGACATGTGTAAGCCAATCAGAAATCAGTGCAGTCCCTTGCTGTGGTATAAACGTTAACATTGGGCCCTGTGTAATTAGGGTCACAGTAAAACATGTTTTATGTGACACAGCTCTGGATTCTTCTCTTGTTGGATCTGAATCATGTTATTTCTCAAACAAACAATATTATCTCCGTGTCTCGGGTAAACCTGTGGTTTGGATGGGTTATATTTACTGATACATTTCATTAACATTCCTTTTACGTTTGTTTTACGCCCCGTACACACTTTTTCCTCAGTGTTTGAGCCTCTCGTCCACACACAGTGTTTTAAGTCAGTCATTTTTACAAAGTACACATGAGTGTGTGCGTTTACTGTACATCGAGGGTTTGAGAAACTATGATGTCATGGTTTACTTTGAGCAGGTATTTTTTTGTATTAAGCTCCAGAACAAGAATGGCTGCTATACACCAGTTTCTCTCCATTTGATTATCGATGCCAGGTCCAGAAAAGTGGAGAATAGCAGTTCCAAAAAAATACCTGCACTGGTGTTGACAAGGTCTCCACATCCAAAGAGTGCATATTCAGAGGTCTGTTCACGAGGACATATTCATTTCCAAAGGGCCCAGGTCTAAAACTGATTCAACTCTCTGGTGAAGCTGTTTAAGCTAAGGGATATAAAAAAGTCTCACCTGCAGCCAGAGGCGGAAGTTGTCCCTTTTGCGTCCGTTGACGGTGCAGTGAAAGGAGGCGGTCTGACCGGCGTTGACCTCCACTCCCTTTATAGTCAGGAAATGAGGTGTGTTCACTGAGAAGAGATGTAAATATTAATCAGGCAGAGGTTGAGGAGATGAATAACATAATATGCCGAGATGCAGAGTTCAATGTCCCTAAAAGTGTCAACGCTTGTGCCAAGATTTGTAAGTGGAATCGGAGAATCGAGGGACGGAGCCGTGAATTGATGCTGCTCTTATCTGTTGCCCCTCGGTGCCGGAGGCCAACATCACTTTGAAAGCAGCTAAATCTATAAAATGAGACACCACAGGCGGATCTTGCACCGACAAAAAACCCAATTTCTGTCGTCTCTAAACTGCATCCTTTCATTGATTGAGCGGAATTTTCCAAAAGCATTTTTCTCTCTCCGACCGAGCTCATTATCGGAGCGCTCACTGACTGGGACGCTCCACAGAAAGTAACTTATGTAGAACATTTTTGATTAGTGCTGCTATTCTGCATAGAAAAATAGGGCAATTCTGTGGAGCGACCTTGATTCAAAACATAACTGAATCTCTAAAGACTTGGCAAAAGCTAATTCTATCACTTTCATCATCAAGACTTTCACTTCTACTTAATATTTCATAACCTTGTCTTCCAACTACACCTCCTTTATAAATTTGTGCCGTCAATCCATCCGGTGCCAAAAAAGACAAATCTATTTTCCTCGATGCTAACGTCTTCTTTAATGATGGAGGGAGAGGCAGAGCACCCGCTGGCATAATCACACCTTTGAGCTAAATATTCCACATGGTCGTATAAATAGAAAATTAATTGGCAGTGCTCTCACTGACGAGTCGCTCTGATCACTTTGCTTCCCACTCAAAGAAACGCCATTGCCACCGAGCAGGTTATTGATCCGCTCGTACTATTACACATTTAACCATTGATCACTTCACAATACATGATTGATTTTCCCAAATGCATTTATATGCAACACCAGTTCCGATATAAATCCATCATATTGACATAACATTTGTAGGAATTCCGCTGGTTTCAAATGGTTACTGGGTTATTAGCAGCCAACAATCAGCGCTTGATACTTAAGCTATGAAAGGTATAGTGAAGTATAAATCAATTTATGACGCTTGTGGTATCGATTGACTGTGAAGCGTGAAAACCTCTCGGTATAAACTTGAGGAGCGCCACATGGACTAAAATGACTCTCGGCACTCAGACTGGAGGAATCCTGAAGAGCCCTCATCCTTGTCCTCCCACAGTAGCGGCCTATCCCAAAAGCCAAAGCTGTAATATTCTAAATGCGCTGGTGATTACATGTTCATTAGCTCCGCGGCGCACTCTCAAGTGCTCGTACTTCCATTCAGCAAGAGCGGTGGGATTGTGAACATCTGAGAGATGAGATGCTTTACTGAATATCCTTAAGGGAGGAGAGAATAATGGAATCCAAACACAAGCAGCAGTGGTGGCAGCAGCAGCAGCTCACTGTATGCTGGTATTTGTTTTTCCATTCTCTTTTTTTGCACTATTCCTCCCATCTCTCAAAGGGGAGATTTAACACAGCCACTCCAACATTATATCCCGAGCACACTTCAGCGTGTCAACTGCACGATGATAAATCTTCAGGGAGCGAGGAGGAGGGAGGTTTACACTTCGGACTGACTGTAGCATACTCTGTTTGAAGGCCTTTTGTTTGACTGGGAGGCCTTGAATAGAACAGCGATGCAGGTATTTGGGAGAGTGTCATGGAAAGGACAATGACTCTTTGATGATATTCTTTTATGGTGAAGGGAAAAAGGACTTACTGCACTGGTGGCCCTGGACCACGACGTCTTTGATGGCCAGCAGGCCGCGCTGCCCTGAGGTTACGGCTTCAAACACAATCTGAGGAGGAGAGAGGAGACTCATAACACCAGTGATGAATGGCCACATGTCTTCGAATGGCACTTGAGTGAGGCCGCCCGCGTGCACACAAGAAGTCCGGCTACGGCTAATGCTCTTAGCCGAGCTGCAGCCGGTCACACGGCTGCGGGCCACTGACATTATTTCCACAATATGTCACGGCTGAGAGGTGTTATGACATGCAAGTGTTAAATTAACTTTGAGCCTTGAGACGATTAGCACACAGTCTGTGACAAGCACAGGGTGCACAGGGGGTGAGACACCTCACATGTTTAATATTGTTTAAAGGGTCAAGACACCCGAAGCCAAAACAGCAAAGTTCTTCACTGTCATTTGATTTAAATTGTGGAAAGTTCTGTGATATGCGTCACTGTGAATTTACCTTTAAATCTGAAAATCAACAGAGACACATCTCTCTCTACACCAGTGGAACCAGTGTTCAGGTATTTGTAAACCAAACACATTCCTTTATGTTTGACAACTAAAGACTAAGTTTCAAACTAGCAATTTACTCCACGGGGTTGTCCCATAAAATGTATTAATGTGTTCTGTTTTTAGACTTACACATTAAAGTGATGCATTAGTCTATGAAATATCCATTAAAGAAAAAAACAATTAACGAGTCACTTTAACATCAAAACCCGTGGTAA